AGCCCGGCAGGCAAATTTCACAAAGTGAAATTTGCGCGTGTCCCCCGTGTCGCTCCCGAGAGCTGGCGCTGGGGCATTCCACGGGGACTTCGCCCCTCGTTGCTGGAGTATCCCCGGCGGCGGGGACAGCCCTCCCAAAAGCCCAGGAATACCTTACGTCCCTTGCGCGGCGGACGCGTTTAAAGATCACCACGGGTGGGCGTTTGCTGAAATGCTAAGATGACGGGCACGGGGAAAAGAGACGCGAAACCCTCCCGGTGCACCGGAGCGGACTCAGGAACCCATCACTCTGTGGCCCCGCTGGTGGGAGTCCAGCATTTCGCCCAGCAGCGAAATTCAGGGCAGCAGGTTGTACGGCACTCGTAAGGAGGAGGCGTCCCGCTGTCCCTGCCACGAGTGAAGCGTGGGACAGGACGGGCGGCAGCGCCGAGGGAGGTTCCGAGCCCCTCGCCGCGGAGCCTGGGCGCTCTGCGGGGGTTGTTCCCGCGTCTGCGGGACTGCGTGTCTCCGGGGTCAGTGATCGAAACCTGGAAGTGCCAGGACGCACATCCCTTTGTATTCTGCCGCTTTCAGTCTTTCCCCGGGTAAGACAAACTGGGGAAAAAAAAAAAAAAAAAATAAAAAGAGGTTCCTCGTTTTGCTTTCGTCGGGTTTCGGGGCAAGAGTCGTCTCTACTTTTTACCATTCATTCCCCCTGATGCCGCGAAAACAGAGACCCCTCAGGCAAGCGGGAGCAGCCCGAAGGACTTGCCAGTCAAATCCCTCTCAGCCGCGAGAGCACCGCCTGAACGCGAGTTCCCCTGGCCTCGGTGAACCGTCGATGCTTTTAATTAAACGCAGCTAACCCTATTTGTTAAAACCCTGCCGAGAAGGGTTAGGTTCTTACTTCTCGGGAGGCAGACGGCATGTGTTTGCCGCTGAGCATCAGACTCTCCGACCAGAGCAGGCAGTCTCTAAGTGCACCCCTGCCAGACCTGTAGGCACAAAGCATCTTGAGGGGACAGACGTGGGGGTATCGCGCCAGTTTGTTACCAATCCATTAAAGGAAAGACACGGGGGGCAGGATCTGGACCTCTCTCCGTGACCGACAGCCCACCTGGTGCAGACACCCCAACTTTACCGGGGTACCGGCGCGGCTTCTGTGCAGAAAGCGAGGAGGGGGGTGCAGAGGCCGATCCTTGACGAGAGAGCATAAGGGGCCGGGATGTGTGAGGCCGCTGCCCCGGGCAACTACGGCGCACGTGCTGTCGGGGGTCGCAGCGACGGTGCCCTCTGGGCTGGGGGGCGCCGGCGGAGGGACTCTCCGCAGCTTCCCGCGGGGCTCTGCGGAACACCCCGCTGGGGAATTCACGTCAGCAAAATGCCTTCGTACGGGTCCGGTAGCCTCCACGGGTGGAACGGGCCCTCCGTGGATGTCTGCGCTGTCTTTGCCAAGTCCCGGGAGTTTATTTAATAAAGATCTGAAAACGAGAAACTCGCCTCCTCCTTTCTGGGGGGAGGAGAGGGGGAGGATGGATGGAGGAGGTGGGGAGGAGGGTTGATGGCCACAGCCCTGAGTCTTAGCGGGTGAGTATGGCCAAGACGGAGAAGCCCCTGCGCCCCGCTGCTGCCCGTCCCGGCGCTGCCGTCCCCGCGGTGCGCGCAGCGAGCGCGCAGGCAGCGAGCAGGAAGCGGCCGCGGCGACGGGCGGGCAGCGGGAGCGCAGGGCGGGCGGCTCTCGGGCAGGTGCGTACAGTGGGGATGGCGAGGGCCCTGGTACGGCAGCAGCGGTACCTGCGGCACGGCAGGGCTCTGCAGCGGGGAAAGCCCCTGCAGCTCCCCTTTGCTGTAGGGAGCACGTCGGGCCGCGACGGGGAGTGGTCAGAGAGCCCTGAGGGCCGGGGAGTGAGCCTGGAGTCACGGGGAACGTGCCGTGGCCCGGCTTGGCAAGCGCTGGGCCTGCTTTCCCTCACTGCTCAAACACAGTCTGGAGCGCGGTGTGGGCTCGCCTCTTGCTTAACTCAGCTCTTCGGAGCGGCTCGGATGGGAGATAAGTTAGAGGAACGAGAGGAGGAGTTATTTGATCTGTTTCCTAGAGCGAATGATCCTTCGCTTTGCTTTTTCTGTCGGTTTGGGTTTTTTTTCCCCTTTCTTCTCTAAAGTAACCTTTTTTTCGAAACGAGTACCAAAGATAAATAAATGCGGGCAAGTACATCCTGCTCCCTCTGCCTGACCCATCACTCCGATGACGTGGGGAAAGACTGGCGAAGGAGCGGGTAATGTGAACTCCACCGAGAGAAAAAAGAAAAAAAAAAAAAAAAAAAAAAAAAACAACAACCAAAAAAGCAAGGGTTGGAAGAGGACGGACTTGCAGCAAAGCCCCTATCTCAAGCCTCAGGGGAGGAGTAGGCAGCAGGTTACCGGGAGGAGTAGAGATTAACTCTACCTTCACCCTGCTCGAAATTAAGAAGCAGCCCACAATCTGTGCCGCCGAACAGCAAGGAGGCTTTCAAAATACCGCTTTGCTGGGTAAAACTTACTCCAGGCACCTCTACCTCCTGCAATTTCTCCCCCTCCGCTCCCTTCCTGCACCTCAAAACCTGCCGAGGAGCACGAAATCGACCTGGTGCTGTCGCGCACCTCCACGGAGCAGGCCTGCAGGTTTTCCTGTGGTTCTGGGATTCCCTGTTGTAAGCTCTTAAACAGAATATTGAAACCATTTTGCTTATGGTGCCTGTTCTTGCCTTGTAGTGCTGGCACTAAACAAATAGGAAAAGTGTGTTAAAGGGAGGCTACGGTTACAGCGTCTTGGCCTGACATTCCCACATATAATTAAAACCATAGCCATAATAATACATAAATAAATAACAGCAAACAGAAGGATCCGTTCCTGTTCCAGTCGAAATCAACTGTTTTGGCTCTGTCACTGTATTATTTTATTGGAGCAGTCTACGTCGTTCCCTCCTAATTTTATTTTAATTTATTTTAATAGGAGAGACAACAGAGAAAGAAATGATGCATCTGGGTTTTCTTCTTTTAAGTCCATGTTTAGTTTTAATTTTCCTGTATTTTAAAATAAACACGTTGGCTGCAGCGTGTTTGATCTTTGCAAGAAGGAAGTCTATATTGTAAAGGAATGTGCAGCAGTTTGGTATGAAAATGGGGTTGTGACTCACAGCTGCAGGCAGAAAAAAAAGGTGTTGTGGTGTCAGCCAGAGGTGTTCAGTCTAATAACTCAAGCTGTAAACTGTATCCTCTAAAATTACTTACGTAGTAAATCATTCAGGGGTTAAAAAATAGACTGGAAAGTGTAAGAGAAGAAAAAAAATCTCTCAGAAGTTCCCTTCATGAAAATTATTTGTAATGATCGGAATTAGGAGTTTAATATTTCCCACATTTTCTTAAATGTCTGATACAGTTAATTACTCCTGTATAGCCGATGGTGCTTACTCGCGGTCGCTCGTGAAGCGACAGAAACTTGTTTGGGGATAACTGTTTCACTGACTGCTTTACCCGATTTTCAGTTGATTTTGACCATCTAAAAGAGAGGAAAAAAAAAAAAATCTAAGAGCGAGTGTTCCGTAATCATTCAGTACCGCAGCGAAAACTCTCTGAAAAGAGCCTCCTCCGCCTGCACAGTCGAGCAGTCGAGGGCAAAGCGCCTCTGACATGCCTCTCTCCCCGATACACGCCGAGACACGGCATGTTTCCATCTCTCTTCGCCTCACGTAGGTGTATCTTAGTCTGGCAACAGCTGAGAAACTGGGCAGGCTTTGAAGGCAGAGCTCTCTACCAGCCTAACTGCTGGGTTTGCAGCAGTCCGGGAGGAGAGCGAAAAAAAAAAAAACCCCCAACTTCGGTGTCATCTGTAGCATTGTACTGAGAAGGAATGGAGCGAGTAATAAAGCAGGAATCCGAAAGGTGCTTCCCAGGTCGAGATGTTGCCTTCAGAAGAGCTTTCTCCGTTTCCAGCAGAGGTTGCCTTCGCTGGAGAGGCTGGCCGTGACTTTCGGGTGGTTGCACCTTGTCTGATGGGGAAACTAACTTGTTAGGAAGATTTTCAACGGAAGAGACATCGAGTAATTTGGGGGGGGGGGGGAGAGATTAAGCGAAATAGAATAAAATAAGACAAAATAAAATAAACCAAAATAAAATAAACCTGTGAAAATGCCCTACAGAGGTCGGCAAATGTTCGCAGTGGAAATAAGAAGTCAACAACAATTAAAATCTGGAACCCACGTTCATTAGTATTCAGCACATAGGATCTAGCTTTTATGTTTATCTTTCTCCGCGGATCAATATTGTAGCAGCATGTGCCGGGAACAAGCAGAAATCTGCCCACTGCATGTGGCTGACCTTTCCCTCTCTCCCTACAGGTCAGATCGTCTTCATCAAAACAGGTCAGATCGTCTTCATAACTATCATCACCTAATGCAGCCACAGCCACGGCTCTCATTAAAACCAGTATTTAATCTAGGCACTGTGACTAGATATCAAAGGAGAAGGGGTGTTTGCCCACACAGAGGAATTAGTAGTCTAGGAAGAAGTAGGGGAAAAAAAAAAAAAAAAAGTTGGAAGGAAAATTGCTCTTTTTTTTTTTTTTTTTTTTTTCCCGCCGCAAACTGCTGTACACCGAGATCCAGCCCGAACTCGCGCACAGACCCAATCTCCTGCGGGGGCTCCGCGGCCAGGAGCGCTGCCGGGCAGCAGGTCGAGCCGAGCTCCACCACCCCTCCGGGCCTGCCCCCCTGCCCCTGGGACGCCCCGGCCGCGGCCACCCACGGACCTGCGGCGACCGGGTCGCGGTGCGGAGCCCCAAGACACCCGCGCCCGGAGGACCCCAGCGGAGAGGTGTCGGGGAGTCCCCCTCCCGCGGCCACCAACCCTGCCCACCTCGGGACGGGTACCCCCCGCGGACCCCACGCCCCCCCCAGCCCTCTGCCAGGAGCGATGCCGCGCGTATAAAACACCCACGCGATCACTTACTGGCGCTTGAGTTACTTCCCACCCCCCTCCCCCGCTTCAGTTGCCGATTATTTCCTTTTTAACACCAAAAGAGCGTCCTTCCCCCTTCGGGACAGAACAGCTGTTCCCGCGTGTGGGGCCGCGGAGCGGCGTGGGGGCCACTGGAGGACTCCTCGCTCAGCTCCGGGTCCCACCGCTCGTCCCTGTCAGTTCCCCCGTGCTCATCATTGACAAGGGCTTGGGACCACGGGCGAGGGACAGGGGAGAACCTGCCCGTGTTTCCTGCCCTGCGAGGAAGTGGGATCGGTGGTCCGTTTGGTGCCGCGCTTCCTCTTCTCGGGACAGCAGTTAGGCAGCCCCTTCGAAGTATTATTAAAGGAATGAAAACTCTAGTGAAGGTTTTCTTTCTTTTCTTTTCTTTTCTTTTCTTTTCTTTTCTTTTCTTTTCTTTTCTTTTCTTTTCTTTTCTTTTCTTTTCTTTTCTTTTCTTTTCTTTTCTTTTCTTTTCTTTTCTTTTCTTTTCTTTTCTTTTCTTTTCTTTTCTTTTCTTTTCTTTTCTTTTCTTTTCTTTTCTTTTCTTTTCTTTTCCTCACAAGTATTAAAGGCAGAGAAACCCTCCAGAAAATTAAAAAAAAAAAAAGAAAGAAAGAAAGAAAAAGAAAAGCAAGGAAATAATAAAAAAGAGAAAACCCAGTGCACTGGGAAAGACTTGCACTTTGGGACAGAGGGGGGCACCGTGCCCTGCAGAGTGGGACAATAGTTCTTGCTTGCTCTACTGGTAATATGCAGCTCCTTCCCCAGCCGTCTGGGTCGGGGGGAAAGCAAAAAAAAATTTTTAAATTAAAAAAAGAAAAAAGAACGAAGGAAAGAAAAAAGAAAGAGGAAAGAAAAGGAGAGGGGAAAAAAAGAGGTAAAGAAAAAAAAGGGACTCACGAGATTAAACACCACCAAAAAAAAAAAAAAAAGCATGATTAGATTAAATAATAATAAGATGAAAAATTAAAAAAAATATACATACCTCATTATGGCCGGGAGCACGTCTAGCATGCACGTGTGGCTGGGGAGATGTTTGGGAAAGCCTGCTATGTCTTCATAGCAGGCAGGAAACGTGTACGAGTTTCTGAAAACAAAGGGGAAACTTAAAAGGCTGATATGGGTTTGGGGGGGACTGCCCAGAGCCAAACGAAAGGGGTGCAGCCCAGGCTGCTGCCCCCCCGGCACCCACGGCCGGGGTTTGGCCGGGCACAGGCTACCCTTTGCCCGTTGCGGAGCCCCTCCAGGACCGGCAGCTGTTCCGCTCTCGTGTTCGGGCGAAATCTCCTGCATTTTATTCTATTTCGGTTTGGGCTGTTGTCATCTCTGTTTGTTGGGCGGCTGGTCTGCCTTTGGGTTTGGGTTGAGGGATTTTTTTGGCACCACCAATTGCAACACAAAGCCACTAGAACAGCCAAACCAGGTGAAGCAGAGGATTTTATTCGGTACCGGCAGCGGGGGCAGGTGAAGGCAGAGCCCTGAGCTGCCCTCCAATTGCGGCTGCGGGCGGAAAACACAACCTGTTTTAGGGACGGAGCCTCAATTTTTCTAGCTTGAAGAGGAGCGCATGAGGAACAAGCAGTTCCCAGGGAAATCAATCCGTCTTTTCAGAGTGTCTCCAGGAAGACTTAGGAGCGAATTTTATTATTAATAGTAATACTAACAGTAAAAATAAATATTAAAGCCACTGCTCCACTCAGCTTTTCACTGTATAAAGGAAGAATCACACCGTCGCGGGAGAGCCGGAAAACTGGGATTGCCACAGCCGGGCACGGGATGCCGACAGCGGGGCAGCACCGTGCACCCCGCTGCCCCGGCGGCGGGGGCCGTGGGGCCGAGACGACCCGGGAACCGTCGGGGCATAGCCGTCGGGGCGTGCAGGATATCAGCCGGGGCACCCGCCCGCTCCGGCTGGGCGCGGGGGGATGGAGGGGTGCCAGGGGAGGGTCGGAGCTGCCGGGAAGCCCCCGGCCTCCATGCAGGTTGGTGCCCAGGTTGCCTTAAGGGCCAGGGCAGTGAGGTTTGGCTACCTCAGGTTCAGTGTGGAAGACAAAGTGGAGGGGAGGGGGCAAGGGAATTGGGTCGAAGGGAGCGAGGTGGAGGAAGGAGAGGGGACAGGAAGGGCGCAGAGGAGGACTTCGGCGCCAGCGGTCCCTGAGCCCAGGCCACCCGCGCACAAGGCTGCGAGGCAGATCTTGATGCCCTCCACCCCCCCAACCCCCCACCCCCCAAAAAATTACCAAACTCTGAACCCGATGATTTACCGTTCTCCCTTAAGAGTGGCAGGGCCGGGCCGGGGTCAGGGCCTGGGGGAGGCGGGAGGAGTGCTGTGTGCGCCAAGGCCAGGGTCAAGTTCAAGGCCAAGCCGGGTAGGACAGGGAAGGGAGGGGAGCTTACTCACGGCCACGGCCACAGCCACCGCGGTCCCATTCCTGGGCCTGCCGAGGAGAGGCATCCCTGCCCGAGAGACGCGACCTGCCCTTTGGCCGGGGATGCCGCTTGCCCCGCGTACTCCCGCTATCAGGGGTCGAGTAGGGGATCGCCTCTGGGCTCTGCTGAAACGAGAACGGCTCCGAGGGAAGGGAGAAGGGGAGCTGAGCCCCGTAGCTCTTCTCTCCGGCCAGAGGTAGCCCACCGGGGCGGAAGACAGAAGAGCTGGTTTGGTCACCCTTAGGCAGGGCTTCCCGTACGCCTCCGGGCCCTGGAGGGAATTTGGGCAGACTGTAGCTGGCAGGGACTGGCTATGAAGCTGGACACCCCATTTGGTTTTTCGGCTGCAGGGAGGCCGGCAGGACAAGGAGGGATCCTCGCAGCTGCATTTCCCACAGATGTCTCCAAGGGGCAGGCGGCATATGCCAATGATTTTAATAAATATTCTTTTACGTAATATTATTACGGAACATAAATTAGGTTTTAATAGCCGTTTGATTACCCGAAGAGCTGCCGTGTGCGCAGGGATGGCCGCGCTGGGAGGAGCACAGCCGCCGAGGAAGCTTCGGCTCCGCTCCCCATCTAAACTTCCTTGTCAGCAGCGGGACGGAGCAGAGTGTCTTTCCCTCCCTCCTCCCCTTCTCCTGGGTGTGGGTAAGCCCCACTTCACCCCAGAAGTGATCAGGGCTCCGTGTACCCTCCTCTCCCCACCCAACTCCCTCATACTGACTCGAGACACCTCTATTGATATTTGAATAAGCGGGTCAAAGCCCGAAAAACCCAAACCGACGACTGGCCTCGGGGGGCGCAGGCGATGGGCTCGCCGGGTGTAAGGAGCAGAGGGCTCTCCCCAACTGCACGAGCGGTCCCTGAAGGCAGCGCAGCCACCGCAGGGCGCTCGGAGCCCGACTCGCAGTGCTGCCTCTTCGCAAGGCGTATTTCGGTGGCTTGACAAGGCCGAACTTTTTTCCACTATATCCCGGCTGCTGTCACACTCGCCTTGGCTGTCCCGGTTTGGCGAGGTGTGCCCGGAGAGCTGCTGTCCGCCTGCCCCACGCGGGCGGCTCCGCCGGGCCGGTCCCCGACGGCCCCCACGGACCGAAACGCTGGGTCAGCACCCCAGGAAAGTCACCTCCCGGCGGCTCTCAGTCCCTCCCTGAACACATCCGACAGCCCAAACTTCTCCCTGGACTGAAAATAAAATAAAATAAAAATTAAAAAAAAAAAAAAAGGAGAGAAAGAGAAGGGGAAAAAAACTGGAAGGAGAAGTGTAAGCTCTCGGGCATCACAACTTTCTCCTCTACAGGGTTGAATGGAGGCTGCCAAAAAGACGGGAGGCGCAAAGGACTCGATCTCGGCTCAAAGCAGCCGAGCTCAGCGCCTAGTCATTGCGCCTCCACCTCCGTCCCGAAACGCCCCATTTTGTCACCCTGTGGAGCAATGAGCTCCCAGTCAGACACGAACCGGGGAGAGAAGGGTGAGCCCGAGTAAGGCAGGAGGCGGAGGAAGCCGTGCTGTAGCCGTGTAGCTCTTACTAAAGGAGATCCTGCCTTGCAAGTTATTTGGGGAATATGCATATCTTCACCCTTTTCTTTCAGCCCAGAGGTTTCCTAAAGTATTGGGTGGCTTCGTGGCTTTTTTGTTGTTGTTTTGGTTTTTCTGTACGGGGGAGCCCAGCTGGAAGAAATCCTCCTGTTCCAGTAACCGGTGGATGTTTTAAAAGCATTTGTTTTGCAGTCGCCACTCAGCCCATCACATGTGTTACAGCAGGTTTCAGAAAGCCCTTGGCATAAAAAGGAAACAGCTCGTGCAGTTTCAACACGTTTTATTATATTTCTGTATGCATTACTCTCAAAACATATCACAAGAAATGATGAAACCACTTAAACCTTCAAATAAAAAATCTGAAACAGTTTATGCTCACAATTGTACATATTTATAGTTAAGAAACATTCTTTATAAATACTGTTTCCTCTGTAGCAAGTTAATACCATAATTTAATTACAAATGGATAAATATGGTAACAGGTATTTACAGGAGGAAGGGTGTTATTACAGAAAAGCTAACGGCACAACGTTTATTTTTCCTCACAATCTTCCGAACAGGAACTAACAAATTGAACTTGCAAAAGCACTAAAACATCACATATAAACCCAGCTAACAGAAAAATACATTCACAAGCGTTGTTGTTCGTGTGAGTGTCTGTAAGTAACAGAATGGAGACTTTGGCACGGTATTTCTTCCCCAGTCTATAGTTGAAATGCAGTTTACAATCAAGTTGCCTCTTAAAAAGGAACACAATATTCAAGATATCACAATTACAAAAGAAACAATTTTTCTCTTCCACGTTACTTTTTTTAAAAGGGTGAACTAAAAAGGGAGAAAAGAGGGAGGTGGGGAAGGAGACCGGGATAAAAGATAACAAGTCCGTCACTTTCTCGGGGAGGGAGGAAGACGGAGGAAAAAAAAAAAAAAGAGTTTAAAAAAAGGGGTAAAAAAAATAAAAAAAAAAGGAAGTAGAAGAAAGGGACCAATCCGCGGTTTACAAACGGGACGAACTTCTATACACAGAGAATCCAGGAAAACCTCGTTCCCCACCTCGCCGGAGGAAAAAGAGGGCCGCTATATACACAGTTCGTGGGGCGGGAGGGCGCTGGCTGCTCCGGGCGGGGAGGCACAGGGGCCGGAGGAGTTTGAGTCTCTGATCTTTTGTCTGAAGGCTCCGGAGGGAGAGTTTCTTTCCGCCGGCTTGGGAAGCTTTTTATTGGGTGATGTGTTGGTGGCGTTTGGGGTTGGTTTTTCCCTCTCTCTCTCCCCTTTCCGTTCCTCTATAGATTTACTCATTCTCTTATGTTTTTCGGCACGTACTTTTTAGAATATTTTTTGCTGGTTCGAAATGTTCTCAAAAAGAAAAAAAAGAAAAAGAAAACAATCCGACAAAAAAAAAAAAAAGACGCGAAGACGGGAGGGTGTGGGGAGATGAAGGTCCCCCGTCCCCATCCTGTTCGGCCGTCATTTCGCTGCTGGCGGGTGCGGCGGCACCTCCCGGTGCGTCTCCGGCGGCCTCGCTCGCTCCCTCCTGCCCGCCGCCACCGCCTCCGGGGCGGGGAGGGCGCGGCGGGGCCGTGCAGAGCAGTCCGGCGGGGCCCTACACGTACCACTCGTTGAAGTTGGAGGACAGGCCGCTGTGGCCGCCGCCGCCGCCTCCGCTGCCGCCGCCGCCGCCACCGCCCCGGTGCACGGCGGACACGGCCGCCGCTGCCGCCGCCGCCGCCGCCGCCGCCGGGGAGAGGTTGCTGGTGCTCTGCGACTCGGCGCTAGGGGACACCAGCCCCGGCGGGGTGGAGGACTCGTAGCCGGAGCTGGCGGCCGGGGAGGATTCGGAACCTTGCGGGGACGACTCGTGCACCTGGGGGTCAAAGGCAACACGGCCGTGTGGAGGAGGGATGGGGAGGCCGCGGCCGCCCCCCGGGCGCGCCCCCCGCCGCCGGCCCGGCCCGCCGCCGCCCCTGGGCCCCGCGCCCGCCGCCCGCTGCCCCGTCGGGGCGCCCGGCGCGGCGCGGCCGCCCTCCCGCCTCCCGCCGCCTCCTGCGGGGCCGGGTACCTTCATGTGTTTCCGCAGGGAGCTGGGGTGCGTGTAGGACTTGTCGCACATCTTGCACAGGTAGGGCTTATCCGAGGTGTGGACGTGCATGTGCTTCTTGCGGTCGCTGCTGTTGGCGAAGCGACGGTCACAGCCTTCGAACTCGCACTGGAAGGGCTTCTCCCCTGCAAGAGAGCGGCGCAGCCGCGGGGTGAGCGCGATCGCCCCCGCGCAAACCCCGAGCAGCCCCGCGCCAACTTTCCTTCCCCCTTTCCCCCTCCCCTCACCCAGTCACTTCTTCAGCAGTTTCGCAAAGCAAGAGGCCGGTTGTGTCCCGGTACCCGCAGCGCCGGAGGGCCGCGCTGCTCACGCGGTGCCCTGCAGGGAGGCAACCCCTGTCCCCCACCTGGTTTTCCTACCAAAACACCTCAGACACCCCGGCCCCGGCATCTTGCCTGATTTTAGTTCGACCAGTGCCGACACACAAAGCCAGTCCCGAAAGAGATTGAAGAAAAAAGGCGATAATTAAAAAAAAAAAAAAAAAAAAAAAAAGCGAGCAGCATCGACACGTTTTGCCTCGGTACCAAATCCGTTATCCTGTTAAACTGGAAACCATTATCGACAGATTTAAGGCCGGGCATATTGTTTCGTGTATGGATATTCGAGATAAACGCACATCCGCTGGGAAAACTAAACGTCTGTAAAATACTTCATTTAATTTTCATAGGGATTCCTCTCACCCTACTGCCAGGACTCCAAATGCCGGGGAGTAATTTGGAGGTGAGAACTTCACATCCCCCCGCCTTTGGAGGGGGAAGCATTTAACATTAAATTCCATTAGCACCCAAATTGTTTCTTAAAGACATCCGCTCAGACACAATGACTTCAGTGCGGGCATCTCATGCAAATACATTTCTCAAATTTTAAACCTTGTTAAAGCTCGTCTCGCACCTCGCATAGGGCTTAGCACTTGAGAAAACAATAGGCCTCGAGATTTTTAGCCTTTCTCCGGGTAAATATTTGGAGTGGAAGTCGCTAAAATATTTGGCTGTCTTTTATGAAATAGTCTGGCACGGTTCGAGCCGGCAGGAGTAGTAAATGAATAATAGATGAGGCGGGAGGATGCGTTAATTTTTGTTACCCTTCGGCTCAGGCAATTTTCCATCGGGAAAGCCAAGGCTCCCTCGACCCTCTTCCACCTGATTGGGGTGGAAGTTTCCGAGCCTCAAATCCTCTGTTCCTTATTACATAATTTAATAAACTGTTGCAAAAACACTTTAAATCACATCGAGTGAGACTTTAAAAACATTTTTTTTTAAATGAGAAAATTTTATTGCCTTGCTCACACCATTTAAATTTAATGGAAAGCATTCCCAGAAAGGGACTTTCTGCCACTTCCAACCGGATTTAGGACTAATGACGGATTTTGCACGTATTTATGTAGTTTCTCTCTCTCGGTATCCATACATAAAAGCCATGCTCACAAGCGCTGAAGTTGTATGCAAATACGTTGCGTATAGCAAATGTATAAGGCGTTTCATGTGGATGGATGGTTGGATAAAAAGATAGATAGATAGATGTCTTCCCGTATTTTAGCAGGACGGCAGAATTTAGTTCGCGCTGTATTCCGCGTTTCTGCGGAAAGACCCCGCTGATACTCGGCACGAATCTACACCTATCACCCCGCAAATTAAAATAAATCATTAAAATATCCTTTCGAAACCTGGGATGGAGGGGAAGTGTATTCTGGTGGGGAGGACACCAAAACAAATGCAGCCGTGTGACAGAGTGTGTGTGTGTGGAATTAAACTGGAAGCTTATTTTATCTCTCATCATTATACATCACTCTGTCTGAGTCTCTATCACTTTATACATATATATACATATATAGGCACGGGCAGAGGGGAGAAATCTGCCGAACGAAACCCGAATTACCTGTGTGCGTCCTTTTGTGAATTTTGAGATTTTCTGATCTGGCGAAAACTTTTCCGCAGCCAGGAAAGGGGCAGGGGAAGGGTTTCTCTCCCGTGTGCACTCGGATATGATTGACCAGTTTGTATTTCGCTTTGAAGGGCTTGCCTTCGCGGGGACACTCCTCCCAGTAGCAGACATGGTTACTCTGCTCGGGTCCCCCAACGTGC